CCCGTGGCATCACTTGGAGGTCCCTGAGCCCGCCCGCTGTCCTGTTCCCACTCCTCCCGGTCTGCACGCGCTGGAGCCCTTCCCTGCGCTTCTAGTGAGGGGACGGAGACCCCTGGCGGCCGGGGAGGGTGAGGCGGGTTCCGGAGCCGGGGCAGGATGCAGAGAGGTAGGGCAAGGCGGGGCTGAAGGGAGATGGGATGGGGCGGGGCGACCCTCAGAGAGCACAGCGATCCCGGAGCCCCTCCCTCGGGACCCACACTCTGGGCAGAAGCTGAGCCTGGGGTGAGCCCACAATGAAGACCCCTCCAGGTCGCCCCCTCACTTGGGGACAAGGTGACCGAGCTTCTGGGTCCTCAAGGACCGAGAGCGAGAATTGTGAGTGGGTGATGAAGGGAACCAGGTGCTTCTGGGCATGCATGACCTTGAAGCTGCCCAGATGACCAGGAAGGAGGAGAGTGCTCTTCTCCATCAAATGGGTCTGAGCTTCTCTTAATTAGAACCAGCTCCTCGACCTCTGCCCCCCTAAAACAGGTACAGGAATTTTGCACCTTGATCGAGTTCTCAAGGAATTTACCAATCAATTTGGGAAGAATTGACATCTTTACCACACTGAATCTTTCAGTCCAATCTTTCAATCTTTTAATCTCCCATTAATGGGTTTTAATAATTCTCAATGAAGTTGTGCAGTTTTCCCCATAAACGGCTTGGCTAGCTCTTTAGATTAATCCCTAGCTAACTGATATTTTTATGCAATTGTAAATTGCATCCTTCTTAAATGTTATTTACTATTCATTTGCTGATTTATAGGGAGATAGTAAGTTTCTGTATTTGAAATTGGATCTGGTAAATTTGCTACACTTTTTCATAGATTCTCTTAGTGTATCTGTGCATTCTGTGGGATTTGCTACATAAACATATCATCTGGAAAGAATGACAATTTTGTGGCTATCTTCTCGATTCTCATACATTTCATTCCTTTTCTCTCTGGCCGTACTCCCTCTGCTGGTGTCCTAGGACCATCTGCAGCAGCAAGGAGGATAATGGGCGTCCTTGTCTTGTCACAAGGGGATGTTTCTAAACTTTTCATTATGAAACACGATGCCTGCTATAGTTTTCTTTAAAGATTCCTTCACCAGATTAAGGAAATTCTCTAATATTCCTTGTATGATAAGTGGGTTTTTAAGAATGATTTGTTGGATTGTATTCACTGGTCTTTCTGCATCTTTTGAGTTTTCTCTTTCCATGTTGCAGATTGTGTGGATTTTTTGATGGTGAACCACTCCCGCATTCCTGGAATGCATGAACCAGACTTGTCGACTGTGTGTCATCCTGCACCGCAGCTGCATTCTGCGTGCTAATATCTTGTTGGCTGTTTGCATCTGTGTTCCTGAGTGGGGAACAGCTGTAATCCCCTCCTCGCTGCCCTGGTCAGGTTTCACAATCGGGGTGGGTCAGCTTCATAAAACGAGAGATTATTCTCTAGAAGAACTGTTTTCTTCTGCTTACCAGTGAAGCCCTCTGAGCCAGTTTTCTCTGTGGGAAGATTGTTCACTACTGAGTCAATGCCTTTAGAGGAAGGGAGATTTACTACTTCTTCTTGAGTCAAATATGTGTTTAAGTTTTTCCAGGAATGTTCTCATTTCATCTCAAATTATTGGCATAACTCTACTATAATAGATTCTCATTACCCATTGCAGGTATTTCACAGCTGCAAAAATGTCCCTTTTCATTACTGATATGGGTAAGTTTTCCCTTCTTTCTTCTGTTCTTGATAAAGTCACCAAATTGTTCTCAACTTCAGTCGTATCATAAAGCAACAGACTCTGTGTTCTTCCTCGTCTCCACTGGATATTTCTTTAGTATTTGTTCTTCCTTTTCTTATTTCCTTCATTCTATTTTCCTTTGAGATTATTTTGTTGTTTTCTAGCTTTCCGAGATACATGCTAGCTCATTAACTTTGAGCCATTTTATTTTCTATAAAATTTCTATATACATTTTAAGTTATCAATTTTCCTCCAAGTACTATGTTAGCTGTATCCCACAAGGTTTTTATGTAGTGATTTCATTACTGTTCAGTTCAAAATGTTATCTAATTTCTAATTTGTGTATTTTTCTAAACCATTGGGAGCACATTTCTTCTTTTTTTTTTTTTTTTTGTGAGGAAGATCACCCCTGAGCTAACATCCATGGTAATCCTCCTCTTTTTGCTGAGGAAGACCGGCTCTGAGCTAACATCTGTTGCCAATCCTCCTCCTTTTTTTTTGGCCCCAAAGCCCCAGTGGATAGTTATATGTCATAGTTGCACATCCTTCTAGTTGCTGTACGTGGGATGTGGCCTCAGCATGGCCGGAGAAGCGGTGCGTTGGTGCGCACCAGGGATCCGAACCCGGGCCACCAGCAGCGGAGCGCGTGCACTTAACCGCTAAGCCATGGGGCCAGCCCGGGAGCACATTTCTTTATTTCCAAACGTATGAGGAAGTCTAGTATCTCTCTGTTATTGATTTCTGGTTTGTCATGGATTTCTAGCATTTTATTATAGAACATATACTAAAGGATTTCAGTCATCTGAAATTTGCTTAGGCTTGCTTTATGATCCAGGAGATGGTCAATTTTTGTCAATTTTCCTTTTCTGCTTGAAGGGCATATACACACTGTAATTCTGGGAGCATGCTCTATATAGAACCCCTTTAGGGCAAGTCAATTAAGTCTTCCAGTCTGCTGTTTTCTTCTTCAAGTTATTTCAGGTAATGCTTTTTGGCCACAAAGCTGTTAATCTGGTATCAATATAACTACACCAGCTTTCCTTGGGGTAGGAATTGCATGGTATCTTTTTCCATCCATTTCCTTTAACTCAGCTGAATAACTAGCTCCCCAGTCCTGGAAATGGGAGCACTTCTCCAATGACTTTCTTCATGCAACATTCATCTGTGAAACGTGTACCAAGCACTTACACTGTGCAAGAGTCATGTCTGTGCTCCTTACATTTCCAACAGTTTGGTTGCCTTTTTTTTTTTTTTAGAGGAAGATTGGCCCTGAGCTAACATCTGCCAATCCTCCTCTTTTTGCTGAGGAACACTAGCCCTGGGCTAACATCCATGCCCATCTTCCTCCACTTTATATGGGACGCAGCCACAGCATGGCTTGCCAAACGTGCGTCGGCACGTGCCCGGGATCTGAACCAGTGAACCTCGGGCCGCCACAGTGAAGCACGCGCACTTAACTGCTTATGCCACCAGGCCAGCCCCTTGGTTGCCTTTTTAAGATGGAATTTCTTGGCGTTTTCTCCCCTGTGTCTGAGGCTGGGGCAGAATTACCAGGCACCTCTCCATGCTCCCAGAGCATGTGTGCAGACGTCTGTCATAGACGCTGTAGGTCAGTGACCCTGTGGGGCACGCACCGAGCGGGAACGCTTCACACTGAGGTGGTTCGGCCACTGTGTGGGTGCTCCCACCAAGCCCAGCAGGCAAGGCGGGCCATCAATGAGTGCAGAGCAGGCGGGTGTGTGCAAAACAAATTGCCCCTTCTCTCCTCTCTCGCCTGGCGCACCAGCTAGGCCAGTCAGTCAGGGAAGCAGATCCACACCAGAGTGCCTGCGCCTGCATGTGGGACCCGCCAAGCAGCAGCAGCCAGCAAACATAGATGAGCCCTACATGCACAACTTCCAGTGGATGGGCACAACTTCCAGTGGACCCCATGGGTTCAGAAAGCACAGCTCCTGCCTCCCCCATGGTGGCAGGTGGAATCTGTGACCAGACACCACTATGTGCTGACAAAAGTCCACTTCATCAAACACCATGAAGAAATACATTAACACTCCAGATCAGAAGGAGAACAAGGCAGAAATCAATCCCGAAGACACAGAAATTTGCAATCTAAATGACAGAGAATTCAAAATAGTTATCATAAAGAAACTCAACAAGTTACAAGAAAACTCAGAAAGAAGGTTCAATGAACTCAGGAATAAAATTAATGAGCAGAAGGAGTTCTTCACAAAAGAGATTGAAACTCTGAAAAAACACCAAACAAAAATGCTGGAGATGAAGAACACAATGAATGAGATAAAAAGCAATCTAGAATCCTTATAAAACAGAGCTGACATTATAGAGGACAGAATTAGTAATTCAGAGGACACAAATATAGAAATGCTTCAGGAGGAGAAGACAGAATTAAGACTAAAAAAAATATGAATGGGGAAGGCCCATTGGCAGCGTGGCGGTTAAGTTCGTGCAGTCCACTTTGGTGGCCCAGGGTATAAAGGTTCGGATCCCAGGCTCAGACCTATGCACCATTCATCAAGCCATGCTGTGGCGGTGTCCCATATAAAGTAGAGGAAGATGGGGACAGATGTTAGCCCAGGGCTGGTCTTCCTCAGCAAAAAGAGGAGGATTGGCAATGGATGTTACCTCAGGGTTAATCTTCCTCACAAAAAATAAATAAAAAAAAATAAAAATGAATAAAAATTTTTAAAAATGAAGAAATTCTCCAAGAAATATGCGACTCCATTAGGAAAGTCAACATAAGGATTACAGGTATTCCAAAGCGAGAAGAGAGGGCGAAAGCAGCAGAGAGCTTGTTCAAAGAAATAATAGCTGAGAACTTCCCAAACCTGGGGAAGGTAATGGAATTACCAGCAAACGAAGCCAATAGAACTCCTAATTACATCAATGCAAAAAGATCTTTTCGAAGGCATCTATTAGTAAAACTGGCAAAAGACAATGACAAAGAAAAAATATTAAGGGAAGCAAGGCAGAAGAGAATAATCTACAAAGGAACCCTTAGCAGGCTTTCAGCGGACTTCTCCGAAGAAACATTACAGTCTAGAAGAGAGTGGAATGATACATTCAAAATACTGAAAGACAAAAACTTTCAGCCAAGAACACTCTATCCAGTGAAACTAGCCTTCAGATACGATGGAGAAATAAAAACTTTTCCAGGTAAACAAACACTGAGGGAGTTTAGTGCCACAGGACACCCCCTACAACAGATGAGCAAGAAGGCCCTCATACCTGAAACAAAAAGGAAAAGGTTTACAAAGCCTTGAGCAAGGAGACAAATAGACAGACAAAATCAGAAAATTGTAGCTCTCTATCAGAACAGGTTAGCAAACACTTAGTTATAACATTAAAGATAAAGGAAAGAAAGCATCAAAAATAACTATTATCACTTCATTTTAATCACAAACTCACAACACAAAATGGAATAATTTATGACAATAATAACTTAGACGGGAAAGATGAAAGAGAAGGAAACTGATTAGGCTAATGGTGGTAAGAGGCTATCAGAAAATGGACTATCTTGGGGCCGGCCCAGTAGTGGTTAAGTGTGCATGCTCTGCTGTGGCGACCCGGGGTTCGCCGGTTCAGATCCCAGGCATGCACCGATGCACTGCTTGTCAGGCCATGCTGTGGCGGCATGCCATGTGGAGTGGAGGAAGATGGGCATGGATGTTAGCCCAGGGCCAGTCTTCCACAGCAAAAAGGGGAGGATTGGCAGATGTTAGCTCAGCGCCGATCTTCCTCAAAAAAAATAAAATAAAAAATAAAAAAAAAGAAAAGAAAATAGACTATCTCATCTATGAGATCTTTGATACAAACCTCATGGTAACCACTAAACAAAAAACCAGAACAGAGACACAAATCACAAACAAAGAGAAAACTGAGAAAACCACCATAGAAAATCACCAAACTGAAACGGCATGGGAAGAGAAACAAGGGAAACACTGAACAACCAGAAAACAAGAGATAAAATGGCAGTATTAAGCCCTCATATATCAATAATCACTGTTAATGTAAATGGTTCAAATTCTCTAATCAAAAGACATAGAGTGGCAGGATGGATTAAAAAACAAGAGCCAACAATATGCTGCCTCCAGGAAACACATCTCAGCTCTAAAGAAAACAGAGGCTCAGAGGGAAGGGATGGAAGACAATCCTCCAAGCAAACGGCAAACAAAAGAAAGTAGGTGTTGCCATACTTATATTAGACAAAGCAGACTTCAAGATAAAAAAGAGAATGAGAGACAAAGAGGGGCAGTATATAATGATAAAAGGGACATTCCACCAAGAAGACATAACACTTATTCAATGAATATATATGCACCTACACAAGAGCACCAAAGTATATAAAGCAACTATTAACAGACCTAAAGGGAGAAAGTAACAGCAATACAATAATAGTAAGGGACCTCAACACCCCACTTACATCAATGGATAGATCATTCAGACAGAAATTCAACAAGGAAATAATGAAATTAAATGAAAAAATAGACCAGATGGACTTAATATATATATATAAAACATTCCATGCAAAAACAGCAGACTACACATTCTTCTCAAGTGCACAGGGAACATTCTAAAAGACAGACCATATGTTGGGAAACAAAGCAAGCCCTAATAAATTTAAGAAGACTGAAATCATATCAAGCATGTTTTCCAACCATAATGATGTGAAACTAGAAATCAACTACAAGAAAAAAGCTGGGAAAGTCACAAATATGTGGAGACTAAACAACACACTACTGAACAACAATTGGATCCATGAAGAAATCAAAGGAGAAATCAAAAAATACCTAGAGATAAATGAAAATGAAAACACATCATACCAACTCTTATGGGATGCAGCAAAAGCAGTTCTAAGAGGGAAATTCATAGCAATACAGGCCCACCTCAACAAATAAGAAAAATCTCCAATAAGTAATCTTAAACTACACCTAACAGAACTAGAAAAAGAAGAACGAACAAAGCCTAAAGTCAGCAGAAGGAGGGAAAGAATAAAACTTAGAGCAGAAATAAATGAAATGGAAACCAAAAAAAACAGTAGAAAGGATTGATGAAACTAAGAGCCAGTTCTTTGAGAAGACAAACAAAATTGACAAATCTTTAGCCAGAGAAAAAGAGAGACACTTCAAGTAAATAAACTTAGAAACAAAAGAGGAGAAATTACAACGGATACCACAGAAATACAAAGGATTATAAGAGAATACTATGAAAAACTATATGCCAACAAATTGGACAATCTAGAAGAAATGGATAAATTCTTAGACTCATACAACCTCCCAAACCTAATCAAGAAGAAATGGAGAACCTGAATAGAACAATCATAAGTAAAGAGATTGAACTAGTCAACAAAAACCTCCCAAAAGACAAAAGTCTAGGACCACATGGCTTCTCTGGAGAAGTCTACCAAACATTCAAAGAAGATTTAATACCTATCCTTCTCAAACTATTCCAAAAAACTGAAGAAGACAGAACACTTCCTGACTCATTCTATGAAGCCAACATCACCCTGATCCCAAAACCAGACAAGGACAACACAAAGAAGGAAAATAACTGGTCAATATTGCTGATGAACATAGATGCAAAAATCCTCAACAAAATATTGGCAAATCAAATCAGCAATAAATTAAAAGGATCACACACCATGATCAAGTGGGATTTATACCAGGAACACAGAGATGGTTCGCCATCCACAAATCAATCAACGTGATACACCACATGAACAAAATGTGGAATAAAAATCACATGATCATATCAATAGATGTAGAGAAAGCATCTGACAATATCCAACATCTATTTATGATTAAAAATCTCAATAAAATGGGTATAGGAGGAAAGTACCTCAATATAATAAAGGCTGTAAATGACCAACAAACAGCCAACATCATATTCAATGGTGAAAAACTGAAAGCCACCCCTCTGAGAATAGGAACAAGACAAGGGTGCCCACTCTCACCACTCTTATTCAAAACAGTACTGGAGGTTTTGGCCAGAGCAATTAGGCAAGAAAAAGAAATAAAAGGAATACAAATAGGCAATGAAGAAGTGAAACTCTCGCTGTCTGCAGATGACATGATTCTATATATAGGAAACTCTAGAGAATTCACCATAAGACTATAAGAAATAATCAACAACTACAGCAAACTTGCAGGGTACAAAAGCAACTTACAAAAATCAGTAGCATTTCTAGACTCTAAAAATGAACTAACAGAAAGAGAACTCAAGAGTACAATCCCATTTACAATTGCAACAAAAAGAATAAAATATATAGGAATAAATTTAACCAAGGAGGTGAAAGACCTATACAATGAAAACTATAAGACATTATTGAAATGAAAACTATAAGACATTATTGAAAGAAATCAATGACGACATAAAGAAATGGAAAGATATCTCATGCACATGGATTGGAAGAATAAACATAGTTAAAATGTCCACATTATCTAAAGCAATCTGTAGATTCAATGCACTCCCAATCAGAATCCCAATGACATTCTTCACAGAAATAGAACAAAGAATCCTAAAATTCACATGGGGCAACAAAAGACCCCGAATAGCTAAAGAAATCCTGAAAAAAAGAATAAAGCTGGAGGTATCACAATTCCTGAGTTCAAAATATACTATAAAGGAGCCTGCCCAGTGGCATAGTGGTTAAGTTTGCATGCTCCGATTCAGCAGCCCAGGATTTGCAGGTTCGGATCCTGGGTGTGGAACTAAGCATGGCTTATCAAGCCGTGCTACGGCAGGCATCCCACATATAAATTAGAGGAATATGGGCACAGATGTTAGCTCAGGGACAATCTTCCTCAGCAAAAAGAGAAGGAATGGCAACAGACGTTAGCTCAAGGCTAATCTTCCTCACCAAAAAAATATATACACACACACACACACACATATATACTATAAAGCTATAATAATCAAAACAGCACAGTACTGGTACAAAAACAGACACACAGATCAATGGAACAGAAGTGAAAGCCCAGAAATAAAACCACACATCCTCACGGGCTGGCCCGGTGGAGCATGTGGTTAAGCGCGCACGCTCCACTTTGGCAGCCTGGGGTTCATGGTTTTGGATCCTGGGCGTGCACCAATGCATCGCTTGTCACACCAGGCTGTGACAGCATCCCATATAAAGCAGAGGAAGATGGGCATGGATGTTAGCTCAGGGCCAATCTTCCTCGGCAAAAAAACAGGAGGATTAGGCATTGGATGTTAGCTCAGGGCTGATCTTCCTCATCAAAAAAAATAAACACACATCCTCAGATAGCTAATCTTCGACAAAGGAGCCAAGAACATACAGTGGAGAAAGGAAAATCTCTTCAATAATGGTGTTAGGCAAACTGGACGGCCATATGCAAAAGAATGAAAGTAGACCATTATCTTACACCATACACAAAAATTAACTCAATTGGATTAAAGACTTGTAGGTAAGACGTGAAACCATAAAACTCCTAGAAGAAAATATAGGCAGTACACTCTTTGACATCGGTCTTAGCAGCATCTTTTTGAATACCATGTCCAGTCAGGCAAGGGAAACAAAAGAAAAAATAAACAAATGGGACTACATCAGACTCAAGAGCTTCTGCAAGGCAAATGAAACCAGGAACAAAGTGAAAAGACAACCCACCAACTGGGAGAAAATATTTGCAAATCATATATCTGACAAGGGGTTCACCTCCAAAATATATGAAGAACTCATACAACTCAACAATGAAAAACCAAACAACCCAATCAAAAAATGGCCAGAGGATATGAACAGATATTCTTCCAAAGAAGATATACAGATGGCCAACAGGCACATGAAAAGATGTTCAACATCACTAATTATTAGGGAAATGCAAATCAAAACTACAATGAGATATCTTCATACACCTGTTAGAATGGTTATAATTACTAAGACAAAAAATAACAAATGGTAGGCCAGCCTAGTGGTGTAGCGGTTAAGTTCACGCACATCACTTCGACAGCCCAGGGTTCACAAGTTGGATCCTGGGCATGGACCTACACACCGCTCATCAAGCCATGCTGTGGTAGTGTCCCACATACAAAAAGTGGAGGAGGACTGGCACAGATGTTAGCTCAGGGACAATCTTTCTCACCAAAAAAACAAATGCTGGGGAGTATGTGGAGAAAAGGGAACACTCATACACTGCTGGTGGGAATGCAAATTGGTGCAGCCACTATGGAAAAGAGTACAGAGGTCTCTCAAAAGATTAAAAATAAAAATACCATACCACTCAGCTATCCCACTACTAGGTATTTATCCAAAGAACTTGAAATCAACAATTCAAAGAGACTTATGCACCTCTATGTTCATTGCAGCATTATTCACAATAGCCAAGAGGTGGAAGCAACCCAAGTGCCCATCAACTGATGAATGGAAAAAGAAGATGTGGTGTGTATATATATACAATGGAATGCTACTCAGCCAAAAAACGCAAAATTGTCCCATTTACAACAACATCTTGAGGGTATTAAGTTAAGTGAAATAAGCCAGACAAAGACAAACACTGCATGATTTCACTCACATGTAGAAGATAAACGCATGGACAAAGAGAACAGATTAGTGGTTACCAGAGGTGAAGAGGTATTGGGGGATGGGCAAAAGGGTTAAAGTGGCACATATGTATGCTGATGGATAAAAATTAGACTAGTGGTGGGGAGCACAATGCAGTCCATATAGAAACTGATATATAATAATGTACACCTGAAATTACACAATGTTATAAACCAATATGACTTCAATAAAATAATTGAAAAAAAAAAGGAAAGAGAGGCATATAATTTTTAGAATAAGTTGGAATCCTTAAAAAAGTCTCCCTGGGGGCTGGTCCAGTGGCATAGTGGTTAAGTTTGCATGCTAGGCTTTGGCAGCACAGGGTTCGTGGGTTCGGATCCCGGGCACGGACATACACACCATTAAGCCATGCTGTGGCGGCATCCCACATAGAGAGTAGAGGAAGACTGGCACAGGTGTTAGCTCAGTGACAGTCTTCCTCACACACACAAAAAATCCACCTGAAATACTGATTGGTTTCATTTAATCTGGTAGACTTAATTAGGGATAAGTGACATACATTTCATGTCCAAAAAAATTGTGGTTTTTAGTGACACGGAAGAAGGAAAAAAGGAAAATATTTGGTGAGTTATAGATGGGACTCTGGAAGAAATTCCTTTTAAACAGAATTTCTTGTAAAGTTATTTAGGCAATAAACAAAGATTGGAAGGGAAAACTGACCACTGAGTACAGAGAGGCCCACCCTCGCCTGCCACTGCATAGACGGTGGTGGAGCCTGGAACGCACCGACGACCACCAGCCCCCGATGCAGTTACTTCAGCTGCAGAGTACCTAATTACCTGATTGGCACACCGGTAGTACAAGGAGAGGGTGGAGACACCAAAGACAATTCCAGGCCAGGGGAGGTCTCCAGTGATGGGGTCTCGGAAGATATGGAAAGAATCCAGGTGAGGCATGTAGCATTCTGGCTTGGCAGTCCAGTTTCCTTCACGGATTATGCTTGGCTTAGCATCTACGTACTTACGCAGTAGCTCCTGGTATCCTCCCACTTCCTTAAAGGCTTAAAACACCATAAAATTTATCAGTACCTAAAACTGCACAATACACATGTCTGAAGAACCAAGACTGCAAAGTAAGTCCCAGTTTGACAGACTGTATCTAATATATAAAGCGCAATGGAGTGACAAATAGTCACGATCATATGTGCCTAAGAAAAGAGATCATCTCTTCCAAAGAGAAAGAAGAGGATAGGGGACACTGGTGGTTGTGTGCCCAGCACCCCACCCTCCAGCTTATGGTAGCAGAAGCCCTCTTCCCAGTTACATTCCATCCTGTGTGGCTTAGGTGGGCCTCATCAAACTGTCCATCATTCCAATGTGGCACGTGATCCAGGCTGGGCCAATGCTCCCTCTCCCCTGGGCAACAACTGATATGTCAGGAATGGACATGAGACCCAAGCTGGGCTAATCAGAATTTGTCCCAGGATCCCTCTGCTTAAGGAATCAAAAAAAAACCTGCTTCCTTCTTTTGGGGTTCTAAGCTGGTAAGGCAGTTTGAAGCTCTTTTGTCTGTCTATTCAGAACCTGGGATCTAGCCATTGCCTGAAGGTGGCGTGCCCCCGGAATTTTTAGTTATTGAGCCAAGAGAGGACTTATTTGCTCACACTAGTTTTGAACTAAAGTTCTATCACAAGTTATCTAAATAAACTTGACTGAAACAGAAATTAATGTTTGTTTTACTGCAATGCCAGCAAAACATTTATGAAACTTTGTATTTTAAATTTTCTTCAGAGCCTATGGCATTTCTCCCTCAATATCCTAAGTGGTATAAAATCTTAACATTAAAGAAAAATATTTTTTAAAAGGCACTGAAACACCCAAAATTCTAGTTACTTATCTAAAAAAAAAAAAGCTTTTATTTTGGCATATTAAACCATGTTTCTCGGATACAGATTTTTTTGTGTGTGTGTGAGGAAGATCAGCCCTGAGCTAACAGCCATGCCAATCTTCCTCTTTTTGCTGAGGAAGACTGTCCCTGGGCTAACATCTGTGCCCATCTTCCTCCACTTTATATGGAACGCCAGCACAGCATGGCCTGACAAGCAGTGCATCCGTGTGCCCCCGGGATCCGAACCCAGACCGCCAGCAGTGGAGAGCCCACACTTAACCGCTACGCCATGGGGCAAGCCCCCTCTGATACAGACTTGATTTTTGAAATGGGTTCCGAGTCACTTGGAGTCAAGACTAATCAATGAAAAGACACTGAGTGAGTATAAAATGAATAAGACACCCCATGGCACTTCTAAAAATGAATTCTATGTGGATTCCAAAATGGTGAAATATAAAACTACAAAGTTACCAGAAGAAAACAGAATATCTTTATGAACCTGGGTTAGGGAGTACACTCTTTTTGTTTGTTTGTTTGTTTTGTTTTGTTTCGTGAGGAAGATCAGCCCTGAGCTAACATCCATGCCAATCCTCCTCTTTTGCTGAGGAAGACTGGCTCTGAGCTAACATCTATTGTCAATCCTCCTCCTTTCTTCCCCCAAAGCCCCAGTAGACAGTTGTGTGTCATAGTTGCACATCCTTCTAGTTGCTGTATGTGGGACGCCACCTCAGTATGGCCGGAGAAGCGGCGTGTCGGTGTGCGCCTGGGATCCGAACCCGGGCCACCAGTAGCGGAGCGCGCATACTTAACCATTAATCCACAGGCCGGCCCCAGGGAGTACATTCTTAAATAAGATACAAAAAGGAAAAGGAAGGTTGATAAATTTGACCTCAAAATTTCAAATTTATATGACTGAAACTAAGTTAAAAATTTGTTAGACTGAAAGAAGAGACCTGCATCATGTATAAACGACTCTTAGACATCAACAGCCAAAGGAAACTACTGGGAAAGAACACGGTAGGAAAAAAAAGAAACATGGTAGAGAATACGAACAGGTAATTCACAAAAGAGGAAATACAAATGGCCACTAAGTACAGTCATGCATCACTTAACGACAGGGATACATTCTGAGAAACGAGTCTTTAGGCGATTTCATCATTGTGTGAACATCATAGAGTGTACCTACCAACCTAGATGGTATAGCCTATTGCTCCTAGGCTACAAACCTGTACAGCATGTTACTGTACTGAATACTGCAGGCAATTGTAACACAATGGTATTTGTGCACCTACACATACCTAAACATACAAAAGGTACAGTAAAAATATGATATAAAGGATACAAAATGGTACATCTGGGGGCTGGCCCTATGGCATAGTGGTTAAGTTTGGCATGCTCCACTTCGCCAGCCTGGGTTCATGGGTTTGGATCCCAGGTGTGGACCTACACCACTCGTCAGCCATGATGTGGCTGCAACCCACATATAAAGTAGAGGAAGACTGGCATAGATGTCAGCTCAGGGCTAATCTTCCTCAAGCAAAAAAGAGGAAGACTGGCAACAGATGTTAGCTCAGGACAAATCTTCCTCAGGAAAAAAAAATGGTACACCCCCTGTATAGGGCACTTACCATGAATGGAGTTTGCAGGACCGGAAGTTGCTCTGGGTGAGTCAATGAATGAGTGGTGACTGAATGTGAAGGCCTAAGACATTACTGTACACTACTGTAGACTTTATAAACACTGTATGTTTAGGCTATACTAAATTTATGAAAGTCTTCTTTCTTCAATAATAAATTAATCTTAGCTAACTGTAATGTTTTTACTTTACAAACTTTTTAATTTTTTTAACTTTTGACCCCTTTGTAATAACACCTAGCTTAAAACACACATTGTACAGCTCTGCAAAAATATTTTCTTTCTTTATATCCTTATCCTATAAGCTTTTTTCTATTCTTAAACTTTTTAATATTTTTACTTTTTCAACTTTTTTGTTAAAAACTAAGACACAAACACACATATTAGCCTAGGCCTACACAGGGTCAGGATCATCGCTATCCCTGTCTTCCACCTCCACATCCTGCCCCACTGCAAGGTCTTCAGGGGCAATAACACACCCGGAGCTGTCGTCTCCTATGATAACAGTGCCTTCTTCTGGAATACCTCCCGAAGGACCTGCCTGAGGCTCTTCTTGAGGAAGTGTCACTCTTTCAGAAATATGCCCATGGTGGTTTGCTTGGTTTGTTTCTTTTTTCATCACAGATTTGCCTGTAAGCAGATAACATATCATGAACGTTTCTCTCTATTAACGAAAACCTTTCGGTGTTAGGGTCCCTGTTTTCAAACTTTTTAAGGAGCTTGTTGAGGTCTGCAAAGCTTCTGCTAAACCACTCACTGCGAATTTTCTTGGCGGTTCGTCTTCTTTTTCTTCTCCTGCAGTTTCCTTTTCTCCTGCCTCTTCTCCAGCTATGCATTCCTGTTCCAGTTCCAACAACTCCCCATTAGTCAATTCCCCATGAAGCACCTCTAGGAGCTCCTAAATGTCATTCTCACCCACACCCAGGTTCAAGTTGTTTGCCGTCTCAACCACAGCTTTGCTGATTTTTGCAACCTCCTCACCCTCGGCAAATCCTTTGAAGTCATGGACAAACCTCTTCCGTGTCTTCTTCCAGAGGCCATTCATACACTCCTTGGTGACATCATCCTGAGCCCGGGCAAGGCTCTTGATCAGTCACAGATGTTGTAATCCTTCCAGACTTGCATCAGCATCTTCCTCAGTTGCAGCAATATCCTGGGCAAAGGTCCTCCTGAGGTAGTAGACCTTAAAAGCTGCTGTAAGTCTTGGTCCATTGGTTGGATCAAAGAGGTGGTGTTTGGAGGGAGAAACACCACTTTGATATTGGGATGAAGCAGTAGGTTTGTTTACACCAGCATCACCACAAACATGTAAGTAATGCATTGTGCTACGATGTTATGATGGCCATGATATCACTAGGTGATAGGACTTTTTCAGCTCCATTATGATCTTATGGGACCACTGTCGTATATGCAGTCTGTCATTGACCAAAATGTCATTAGGTGATGCATGACTGTACATGAAAAGACGTTCAACCTCAGTATCGGGAAACTTTGAATTAAAACAAAAATGAGATACCTTTATCTTTTCTTCGCCTAGTGGGAAAATTTTTTTTTGTGTATGAGGAAGATCGGCCCTGAGCTAACATGTGCCAATCCTCCTCTTTTTGCTGAGGAAGACTGGCCATGGGCTAACATCCAGGCCCATCTTCCTCCACTTTATATGAGACGCCGCCACAGCATGGCTTGCCAAGCGGTGCGTCGGTGCGCGCCCGGGGTCCGAACTGGCGAACCCTGGGCCGCCGCAGTGGAGCGCGCGCACTTAACTGCTTGTGCCACCGGGCCGGCCCCCGGGAACATTTTTAAAGTCTTAAAACATCAAGTGTTGGCTGCAAGGTTAGGAAACATATATTCTCATAAATTCCTGAGAATATGAGTTAATACAGCCACTTTGGAGAGGCATTTGGGGTATCTCTTAATAAAGCTGGCTTTATTCCAGGAATGCAAGCTTGAGTTTACACTCAAAACCAAGTCACTGTAATTCACCATGTTAACAGAACAAAGGAGAAAAATAATATAATCATCTCAGTGGGTGTGGAAAAGACACCTGTGGAATTTAAAACCCACTCAGAATAAAAAATCTTAGTAAACTAGGAATAGAAGGAACTTCATTGGTCTGACAAAGAGTATCTACAAAAAATTGACAGCAAATACTTAATGGTGAAAAATATTCAAAGCTTTTCCTCTAAAGTGGGAACAAGACAAGGATGCCTGCTGTCTCTACTTCTAGTCAGCACTGTACTAATGGTCCTGGCCAGTGTAGTAAGACAAGAAAAAGAAACAAGAAGTATAAAGTTTAGAAAGGAAGGAAACAAAAAGATAATTTCTTGACCTGGGTGCTGGTAACCAGAGTGTTCACTTTGTGATATTTCATCTAGCTATGCACTTTGACTTAAGTTTATTACAAATACAAAAACAAAAAAGATGCAATAGATCTCTATTTGCTGACAGAAATTTGCCTATGATATAGAACCAGTGGTGGAAAAACAGGCTGTAAAGTTTTCTGTTTTGATTCTATCAAAATATGTATCTCATAGATAAAAAAAGTGTTTGTACATATGAAGAATATCTCTGGAAGGATATACACAAAACTTACAATACTAGTTGTCTCTGGGGAGTTAAAGTGAGAAACTGAGGGCGACAAGTATTTCATTGTGTACCTTTTTGTTTACCTGTGTATATATTACCTAAAAATTAAAAATAAAACAAAATTGTATGTGCAAGGGTTCCCACAGTGACTAGTTTGAAGGACAACACTCATTTAGATATACAAGTTCTTGTATATTTTTAAAAGAAAATAATTATTCTATTACTTTACACTAGTTCACTTATCAAAAGAACTGACATGAATACCCTAATTAAAAAATCCCATTAAACTTCTCAGAAAATGTCTTAGTCTGTTTGGGCTGCTATAACAAAATAGTATAGATTGGGTGACTTATAAAAAAAAATTTACTTCCCACAGTTCTGGAGGCTAGGAAGTTCAAGATCAAGGTGCTGGCTATTTGGGTGTCTGGTGAGGGCCCACTTTCTGGTTCACAGATGGCCATTCTCACTGTGTCCTCACATGGTAGAAGGGGCAAGGGAGCTCTCTGGGGTCTCTTTCATAAGGGCACTAAGCCATTTACACGGGCTCTGCCCTCATGACCTAATCACCTCCCAAAGGCCCCACCTCCTAATATCATCACATTGGGGGTAAAGATTTCAATATATTAATTTTGGGGGGGACACAAAGATTCAGTTTATAACAGTAAAGAATACATAATTATTTAAAGATATAATTTTTGTGTGTGTGAGGAAGATCAGCCCTGAGCTAACATCTGATGCCAATCCTCCTCCTTTTTTTTTTTTTGCTAAGGAAAGTTGGCCCTGAGCAAACATCCGTGCCCATCTTCCTCCACTTTATATGGGACGCTGCTGGAGCATGGCTTTGACAAGCGGTGAGTGGGTGCATGCCCAGGATCCAAACCTGCAAACCCTGGGCTCCCAAAGTGGAGCACATGCACTTAACCGTTTGCGCCACCAGGCCGGCCCCTAAAAATATAATTGCTAACATTAAATGGAATATTTCCACTTGCTCCTAAAGTTTATTTGGATGTCATTCTCTACTACTGGGGTGGACTTGGCAGGTGTTTAAAATGCTGATGTTCAACACAGCACACAACTAAACACAATGGCTTAGTGCATTTTATAGTTTATAGTCTTGTCACTCAAATTAGTTATTGCTTCTCAGCTCATTTAAAAATTCCTTGGATTATGCCTGAAACGTATTTTGTGTCCCAGCAACGCATCACTGAGTATACTTCATGGTGCACTAACGCTCACTGACTGGTAAGACTGAGGACTGTGTAACTGATTCTATCTGTTCTCATTCCATGGGGTTCAACAACATGCTCTATGGAACCATAATCCTTCAACTGTACTCACACATAATTTCAATCATTTTTCAATACTAGCCAAGAGCTTTTCCTCCCAGGAATCTGCAAGGCCAATCTCTGACCCACGGAGCAGTGGGTAACACCAACCTCACTAAGGTCACATTTCTAGCTGGTGGAAGGAAACCTCCATTTTAGGGTAAGTGTACTTGTCATTACAGGGACTGTAATACGTTAGTTTGCATACTGGGCTTTGGTGTTAGAGACCCAGTTCTGAGTTCTGCTCTTGGTGTGTCTTTTGAGCAAGTTACTTAACTGAAACTCAGCTTCCTCGTCTATAAAATGGGGATAGCCATAGTAGTTATGCCTCATGGCAATTGTGATGATTAAATGAGGCAATATAGATAAATGCCTACATGGTACCTGATAATTAATATCAGCTATTATCTTCAATCCTATTACTTAATAAGCACCTACCATGTGCCCCAGACTGCATATTATGTGAGGGGCACAATAGTTCTGGTTCTTAAGAAGTTTTGGACATGGGGGTTATAATTTATTTATGTGACACCATCAATGAATAATGAAGGCGGGCCGGCCCCGTGGCTCAGTGGTTAAGCGCACGCGCTCCGCTGCTGGCGGCCTGGGTTCGGATCCTGGGCGCGCACCGACGCACCACTTCTCTGGCCATGTTGAGGCCGCGTCCCACATACAGCAACTAGAAGGCTGTACAACTATGACATACAACCATCTACTGGGGCTTTGGGGGAAATAAATAAATAAATAAATAAACAAATAAATAAATAAAAAATTTAAAAAAAAATGAATAATGAAGGTATGTATCAAAAAAAATGTTAAGTCGTGTGGTAGTGATGCGAGTCCAGAGAAGAAAGACATGTAGATGGAATAATCATAGAATCACACCTTCAGGGGTGGATCTTCCATTGACCTTGACAGATGGATTGAGTGGACATAAAGGAGAGGGGCTTCTAACTGGAGAGGAGGACCACGGACAGAGGCACAGAGCTGGGGGAATGTGGCCGACCACTCCTGACCCTGTTTCAAAGCACCAGAGTGTGTCACTGCCTCTCCTCTCCCCTGACTCCTCCTCCTTCTGAAGTGAGCACAAGTTTCCTCCCCCACCTTCAGCACGACTTCAGACAACGCTCTTGGGTTCTGAGGGCCTCAGTCTCCTCATCTGCGAGATGATGGTGCTGAAATGGCCCCAGGCAGCTCTAGGTTCAGATTCTACCCATGGAGCTGGTCCTCTCAAGATTTACTTACCAAAGCCCATAAGCAAGACTGACCCCAGAACCATAACGCCAGCGTGTAAGGTATCAGTGTAAACCACAGCTGCAAAACCACCTGAATAGGCAAGAGAAAGAGAAGGAAAGCCACACTGACTCTCTCTGTGAAAGTTACTCCGCGTCCCTATTCTGTGTACTTGTTTCCTCCCAGATCTCCACGGTCATACCTTTTGTGCCTCTTAATTCAATGGGTCTTACAATGACTTATGCTTAGTCCTGGTACATCCTTTTTCTCTCTTTAATATCCTTCATGATCTTTTGTTGGATTCTTACCTTGCCCTTCTATGTCTCAATTTCCCTTTACTTCCCATTTTTGGAAGAATGAACATCTGGTAGTTTTCCTAAGCAAAAAAGTACATCTTTAAGTACAGTTTGGAAGCAAGAGGTAGCAGCATCCCTGGCCCCTACCTGCTAGATGCCAGTAGCATCCCCCGGTTTGACAACCAAAGATGTCTTCAGACATTCCCACATGGCCCCAGGGAAGGAAAACCCACCCCTGCTCCCCCACATACACACTTCGAGGACCAGTGATTGAGTGCATTCTCTCCACTCGGACTGTGGTGAATGGCCAGGGACACTCACCAGCACCCAAGATCTGCACTGTGGCTGGAAAACACAAGTGATGAGAGCCGCCCCCTCCCCCAACATCCTGGCAGACACTGTCTAGGACAGAACTGCCTGCACAAAAGATCTCATGTGATGGCCTGACCAGGTGGCCTGAAGCTGCTGCCTCTCCCTCACTCTTTCTGGGTTTCTACTGTTTTACCTGGGGGCCTGCGGGGTCAGGCTCTGCCCGACCCAAACCAATCACTGAGTCCCTGCCAGTCCCCATGGAAAGCCCTGCCAGCCGGATCTGATTTCTAGGGTAGGACGCCACTCAGGCACCCCTGCCTTGATTACTTTCACTACTCGCCCCCCTCCAGCCTCAGCAATGTGATCCACAGACTTAGGGAAAAGGCAATAGCTGGAGACCCCTGCCTCAATGTCTACCAGGAGAAGAAGTAGAGCTTTTGTGTCAATATAAACACGTGTGTGGTTAGAGTAACCTCACCTGTGATGGAATAAACGCCAGTAATTGTCAGCAAGACTATGGTGGCCAGGTAAACATTCAACCCCAAGACCAGCCTCATGAACATGGCACCAGTGCAGATCTCCACCTGAAATGAGCACAAAGGCAGTGGGCTGTACTTTCATTTCCAGCTCAATCGACAGCAATCCCATAAAGACACTGACCTCAGAAACCATCTGCAACAGGTGGTCTGTGGTCAGCACATCCACCCCACCACTAGTGGACACTGGGTGAGGTCTACGCAAGTTCTGTCGGGCAACAAGGCTCGTGCCCCAGGAGTTCAGCCAAGGTTAACCCAATTAATCCAGTTAATACAACTTAGTCTCTTCCCCGC